AAAAATATTCCGTTTTTATGTGTGGTCAAGTTATAGCGGATACTTTAATCATGTTAGCATGCAAATCAATTAGTGTTTTTTTTTTTGGGGGGGGGGGCATTTGCGCTTCAGACGGCATTGATTGAATGCAAAGGCTAAATATCGATGCAATTGATTTGAGGCAGGCCGGAGAGCGCAACAAGCCATTTTGGCAGCTGCTCAGCAAATGGTGGATTGATTCTCCTTTTCATCACCCGCCATCTGACCGGTGGTGTGAAAATCCACAAGGCGCCGCCAGGGATGCGATGCCCCTGCTGAGCGTATAACTCACCAAAAATGCCGCATTGTGATTCGTTTGTCACTCGCGTCGTTGCCGTCGCCTCGTTTGCAGGCTTGATTACCCCGAATCCCATCGAGGGCACCGTGGCGTGATCCTCCGCCGCGCTTCTGTTTGACACATCACTTCCCGTGTGGCGGAGGGACAGGAAATGACCAATTTGTCGCAGCACTCAAGAGGTACCTTGCGATACAAGTTCAGTTCATTCCGCGATCATGCTAGTAACTCGAAACACTCATGTCTTTATATGATTGGGGGTACTCTTATATTGTCTATCAATATGTGTTGCTCCACCGTTTGTAATCAAATATCCACTGCTGAAAGCATGATAAGGCTGCAACATCAAAGCTATCCGTCGACAGCAATTCCCATTATGTGTTACCATTAATCTAGCTGACTTTAAGGCAAAGTTAGCCATGTGTAATTATTCTCTTTGTTTTATGTTTACTTTGACAGCATACTTCAACTGGGAGTGGCCTGAAGCCCCTTTCATGAAACAGACAGGCAGAGTAAGACTTTCCCGAAACACTGTCACACATGCCACTGAAATGCTCTTAAAACAGTGAAATGCTCTGTTATATACGGCTTTTACACATTATACTGACGTGCGCTCATATATTATTCTCAAATCCACGTTTCGATAGTGTAGGTCAAAGCATTTTACATCACCTGTGTGTACGAGAGCGTTTCAGTAGCGAGTGTGCGAGGTCATCCTGAACCATGTCCCCGACGGCCTCTCAGAGGTGGCCAAGCAGCTGTGAAAGCGCTATTTAGGACCTCACAGGCAGACAAAGGCTGAGCAACACCTCAACTGTCTGCTCACGCTTTGGTGTGAGAGCACATGACATGCAGACGTGTGCAAAGCCCACCGAGGAAATCAATTTTGACAGTTTGACCAAAGGGGGCTCGCTCGAGGCAACCTGGGCTGAGTCGAGGACAGAGGAAGAGGGCACACAGAAGGAGGGCCTCCTCACACTGTTGTGGGAAGGACAGGGTGGTCAAATTTTACCTTTGGATTCAACAGAAAAAGAAACGAAATATCTCAAGGGCATCCCAACCAGCATTCAAAGTGCAAGGAAACATGTGCGGCGACCGCTAAGCGTGTGTCGTGAGCATCTCGTCTTCCAGAAGCACAATAAACTGGTTGTGGATGACAACGGCAGTTAGCCTTGCTCGCGTCTGCTATTTTGATCACCGCTACTCATAAAGTATTCATACTCGTGGGACCACGGGACTGCCAGCGTGGAATGAGGACACTGGGGAGAAAATGATTGTAGTATTTACCACAATGAGGACCGTCTTTAAAAGCGTTAAACGAAATACAGGTAACTCAAATTTATATATCAGATGGAGAGACGGAGCAGTTGGACAGAACATGGCAAACCGGATACTTGGACTGTTTCTCTTTTTTTTTTAAGTGTTCACTGGTCCATTTGCAAGTATGGAAGGCGACAACGACAACAAAAGAGTCAAGGGCAAAAATGTTGGCTTTGTGAGGGGAGGTGGTGGGGGCAACAGCTGGTTGGAGCTAACCAGGAAGTCACTCCACTTCATTAACGACCCAGCAGGAGAGCTGCCCCTGCCCACAAACACCCCCACCCGGCTCAATTCCCTCTTCCAGTGCTTTCCATTAGTCCTCCCTTCGAGCTGTCATTCGACTCGCAAATTTCCACCCACCCGCATGCGAGCATTTTCGTAATTTGTAGCAAAATCGAGGAGCTCCATTAGAAGAACCGATCCTCCGAAGTGTTGCTATGGAGGAGCATATAAAAAAAAAAAAAAAAAGAAAACACTGCGACTTGGTGCCACTTTAAAAAAAAAGGGATGAATGATCACTCATTTAAATTGTGACCAGCAGACCCAGTTTTTTTTTTTCATTAGAAGATTTAGGGCCAAAAAAATAAACGGTGACCCAGACATTGGGTGCCCCGCCCCCTTTGCGATTCCCAGCCCATCACTTCATGATTGGCTCATTCAGTGAGTGATGTCCAGATCACCCCTCAGCATCACAAAGGAAAACACCTGTTAGAATCTTCTTAATCCCCAGCAGCAACTCTGTTCTCGATTTTTTTTTTTTTGAGTGGGCCCCAAATCTAATCCACAAAGGGGGCATGGGGCCAAGGCCCGTGCAGATTTAAAACACACA